AAAATACAAATATAACACTTCTACCTTTAAAGAATTTTATATTACCAGGCATATGAATATTATCTGTTTATACAAAATAAGACATATTCGAAATTATTTCTAATAAAATTGAAAATGGAAATGGGGAACGTGCCAAAGAGACAACAACCCGACCAAAAAGCATATATAAAGTATATATAATAAGTATGTTATCGAAATTTTTCTAGCACTCTAGGCACATCACGATTTTCTCGCATAGGAATTTGCGAACAAACCTTTGTAAAATTATGTAGTAAAACAAATGAAATCATACTATATTTATAAAACAAAAATTGACAAATAGAATGTAATCATTTTTGTTTCAAACATGTGAAATAGCCAATAATAATAAAAAAAAAACGGTAAAACTCGCTATTATTACAAAAATATCCACTATAACTTGCAAAATTAGAAAAAAAAACTAGGATAACTTAAGAATTGGTACAACAAAGAGAATACAGGGATTCGAACCTAAACCGACAAATCCCGATCTTTAACTCATTGATTTTAACCATGCTAACCTCGCGGCTACCAACTCATACTATACGACTGCCTATTGTGTCTATATAAAGGTACAAGCCCTGTGTGTCCGATGAACCGATGTATATCAGATGTTCATTTAAATATATATAATAAACATCTATAGTGTAACCCATTGGTAGCCGAGAGGTTTCGTCGGTGTGTTGATGTCAGTCACACATAACAGATTTCAAGGAAGGGTTCGATTCCCAGTGAAGGCATATAAAAATTACAAAAATTAAAGGTAAGTTTTTAAATTAATTCCATTAGTGAACAGAAATCAGTAAATTAGCCTATTCAAACTTAATGAAATTAGGCACACAAAGGAAACAATTGAATATAATTTGGTAAGTCAATTTCAGCGGCAGATTTAGGAAGCGTTGATTCTAGAAAAAGAATCCACGGTAAATGAATAGGCTGACGTCACCACAATGGTTTAAGTATACTGAACTCTAACAACATAGATAAACTCATCATAGATGCCAGGATTAAAATTTTGTACGCAAGACGCGCGTTTGTTCTATGAAAGACTCATCAGTGACGCTCGAGTAAAAATGACCAAATAAAGTGCGAAGTTGACAAACATTGAGGACCCAAAATTCCGAAAGGTTTTGTCAAATACAGTTAAGGTAATCTATTTCTGGAGTAGAAAAACCTAAGTATTTCGAAAAAGAGGTAGGTCAATTTTCCCATGATTTTTTTTCATTTGATTAGTTAGGCAAATCATGTTTTTAAATAGCCCGATAGATGCTAATTATAGAACATGAAAATACGTCACATCATCTATTTTCATACCTTGAACAGGTATTCCTACAATTAACAAGGCCAAGACTATTGATTTTTTGGTTTATCGAAATCTATATTGATCTTGTTTGTTAACGCCCCCGAGGAGCATTAAAATATGAATTATCAACTAATAGATATAAAAAACATGTTGATTCAGTTAGCCTGTTAATGTTGGTAGGTGATTTGAAGCGTACATGAATTTATAGCTTTGTTTAACTTAAAACTAACAAAACAATAAAAAGCGAGGGTTAAATATTAATACAAAACACATTTAATAATCTAATTATCTGATATAAATCAGCTAATCTGATTCAAGATCGGTCTCTGTTTCAATGTCTATACTGGCATCTTTAAATGCAGTGGAATATCTGTCTGTTTTGGTTTTATAATCTGTATGTCTGGCATATCCCATGTACCACAATATCGTAGCTACATGGGCACAGCATCCCACAGTTCGGGCTCCCGCCTTACACTCACAAAACCAACCGTTAACTGGATGAGTATCACTATCCTCATTGAATTCAAGCCAAAGACAGTATTGTTTACAGCTAGTGTGTCTGGATTGTATTTTGGCTTGAACGATAGACGACGAGACAGTATGTAAAAAGATATCGATATCGCCGTCATTGTCAAGATGCTGGTCGGCATAGTTAGGAGCCTGCTATAATTGGTAAACACCAAATGTAAGAGATCGTAAATAATCTTCTGTCAGTTTGGGGAAGTTGTCATAATGTTTACATTCATGAACGGAACCCACTCTCGTGCTCGTTACTCAATGATTTGTCTTCCAAAACCCTTTCTTGTAAACGGTTTGGTTGTTTAGACTTTTCTAACATACTTTTAGCTATGTCACAGTGTTCCTCAACGGATGGGATTAACGGTGGCTTGAATATTTTGCATATAGCACCTACTATTCTCAAGTATTATTTAAGGTTCAAGATATCGATATTTGGGACAACTTTATCGAAATACTTCCATGTTTTAATGCGCGCGTTTACTGTTTCAACCGTCCGTCTTTCTAATTTTAGTAACTAGTCTTGACATGTTAGCATCTTCAGTCAAAAACTGCTTAGCAGATTTAGCAAGAAACGCCGGCGATTCGGTTTGAAACCCACAGGCATGTAAAAACTCTAACGCATCTATAAATCCTTTATCTAGAATCAGAATATCATCTTTCTTAAACCATTTCATCATATTTTCATCATTTGAACGCATTATATGCTGCACAATGCTAGCATCATTGTTTTTGCCATCCGCTAAGTATGGCCCCAAAATTTTTGACTCCTCAAAATTCAAGAGTCTATCCTAAATTGAGGTAAATTGTATGGCTTTCCAAATAACGTCTCGATTCCTTACATCACTGAAGAGACATTAATTGTCGAAATCCGGATATGGTGTACTAAAACCTTTGCACCTTTTGTTTGCGGTATACCATCTTTTCCGCAAGTTTATTGTTTTCTGTTTAGTATTAAATTTATAATTAAGATCCATTTATTACATCGGTGATCCGTTTATTTGGCAATCGCCAATGGCAGTCAGCAGGGTTTAAGAACATTTGTTGTTCGACCTGTTAGTCAAATGCGTTTTGTTAAAATATACTTTTTCACTTTTTTGGTCTTTTGGAAAATGTTGTTTGTGCTGTATTTAGACCCCTCTAACAAATAAATTTGTTTTGCATGCACACGTATAAAAAGTGAAGTTTTTATCCAACGCAATCATAGGTTTGAACGTTGTTTTCAATTTAGACTTGTTTATATATGTTAAAGATATTGACCAAGCAAGTCGGTATATGTCATTTGATCTGCACGGCTCGGGTGACCCTGCTTGACCCGAACGACGTAGGAGTTATATATGTATTGGACCCTTTATAACTTGCTGTTCTGTGTTAAAGACCGCACTTTGACCTATAATTATTAACTCTAAATACATTGTAACTTGGAAGGAGAGTTGTCTCATTGGCACTCAAAACACTACTTCTTATTTATATTTACAGCAGTCATCATAGCTTTTTGTTTTTATCTGATAAAACTGTTTACTTAGTATCCCACATGCCCAACAACATGTGCGGGCTTATGAACCCTCCTCCTTAAAAAAACCTCACATATGAGATAGTCCGGTTTTTAACTTGACTAACAGTATTGCTATTGCTGTTCTTGGAGACCTATTCGCAGACTTTTTCAAGTTAGAAACACTAAAAATTCAAATTGTTCCTTGGTGACTCCGGTCAGGCTCACAATATCTTCATCCGTAATAGAGTTTGGATCATCGAAGTCTAATCTCTTTTTCTTTGCATGAGATACCATACCACGTAACCTGTCAAGAAGCCAAATAATATCGGACGCATTTAACTCGGATGTTGTTTTCCTCAATCTGAATGCATCTATCTCTGTCCCGGTTTTTAAGGTTTTACCGTCTAGATGGACTGGACAACATCTTACACCAGTTGGTACTAGAATACCTTGTGTTACAAACACATGTAATTTGGCCTTTTCTGGCATTGTAACAAATGGATCCTTTGTTGTAATACAGATGCAACACTTTCTTGAAGTTTTACCTACAGTCACGATTGGTAGTGTAATTGATTCGTTCAGTGGTGTTATTTTATTTTCTGTTAACTTGGGTACCGGTGCAGGGACGGTAGTAACAATGTCAGTACTTGTATCTACACAGTTGGTGGATTGGCGATAAAATTGCTGTCTGCATTTGTTACAAATGATACCATTTTCAACAACGTTCTTGTTTAAGGTTTCGAAAAATTGTTTTCGTTGTTGTGAAATTTTTCTGCTATGGCCATTTTTCGTTATATGTATATTACACAAACAACATTTGGGCTTCATTGCTATACAATATAAAATTGAGAATGGAAATGGGGAATGTGTCAAAGAGACAACAACCCGACCATAGAACAGACAACAGCAGAAGGTCACTAACAGGTCTTCAATGCAGCGAGAAATTCCCGCACCCGGAGGCGTCCTTCAGCTGGCCCCTAAACAAATATATATACTAGTTCAGTGATAATGAACGCCATACTAAACTCCAAATTGTACACAAGAAACTAAAATTAAAAATAATACAAGACTAACAAAGGCTAGAGGCTCCTGACTTGGGACAGGCGCAAAAATGCGGCGGGGTCAAACATGTTTATGAGATCTCAACCCTCCCCTATACCTCTAGCCAATGTAGAAAAGTAAACGCATAACAATACGCACATTAAAATTCAGTTCAAGAGAAGTCTGAGTCTGATGTCAGAAGATGTAACCAAAGAAAATAAACAAAATGACAATAATACATAAATAACAACAGACTACTAGCAGTTAACTGACATGCCAGCTCCAGACTTCAATTAAACTGATTGAAAGATTATGTCTTCATCATATGAATATCAGGCACAATCCTTCCCGTAAGGGGTTTAGTATCATACCATCATAACATATATGAGAAGAACATTCTTTGGTTATGTACAAGCACCTACTTCAGTTTGACGGCAATTGCTCCTTGCATAGTGATAATAAATGTAAACACAGGAATAGGAAGTAAGTCAAGAGTACGTTTAGTAAATAATGTAATAGGAACGCACACAATAAGCAACACCTTTATTTATAATTTGTTTCTTTAATGAAATCATATATAGTCAAAATGAGCCAGAATGACTCTATGAATTAAACAAACATCTGAAAAAATATGATAGAACATTACAATTTAATATTTCAACACAATAAAAAGGCAAATAAATCTGCGTGAGATTTTGACCCTTATTAAAAATAATCTATTAATGATAGTTCGAAGCCCTACCGATGGAACCACAGAGACTCTTGAAAAGAATTGGGTTATTAAGCAGTTATATATGTACAATTTAGTGATGCTCCACTTGTTTATTAAAAAGGTTGTTTTTTAGGTATTAAGGACACACTAAACCAATTTCATTTTTGAGGAAAAAAGTTGTATAAATAACAACAACAAAAAAAAACATAACTTTGTTTTGGTTTGAAATGTCCTTTTCGGGGGGATTCCCTGTATTTCCCACCTAAAACACGGTAAATTCCGCATATTTGACTTTCATCTCTTTTGAGGGGTTAAATTAACTATTCTTCAGACATACCATAATAATATAAATCGAGATATTGATCAAAAAACATTTTTATTACTTGTTTTTATCGCACTTTTTGAAATCGGCCCTTCTGTGAACAAAAATCAGGGGAAATTAACCCTACCTCTTTAAAGTTTTATAAACAGTTAATTTATAATTATGACTATATCAATGATAATTCATGTCAACATAGATGTGCAATCATTGCACAAGTGAAAGTGATAGTCACATTTATAACCTGTCATTTGCACTTTTCACGGGGAAAATCTTTTATGTTGTATTAATTTCCTTCCAATTCCATAACATGGGTTTGAAATTTACATTCGTCTGGTTTTATTTTCTTAAAAAATGTTTTTACAGACATTAAATACTAACAAATATAGAATACAATTCAAGTTTTGTAGAATACGAAACTTTTGCAATAAATGTTTAGATACAAAACACATGATTACAGTAACTACAGTTTATATACAAAAAAGTATCTGTATGTGTATTCGAAGTGTGAATGTTTACAAACTTAAATGTTGTGAAATTTTCAAATTAGTCTGCGATTGTTTGATAGTCTCCACTTGTCTCTAGCATGCTAGAAGGAATAAGATATCCAGATGTATCAATGTGTTGTATTTGATCTATGTTCTGTTGGACAGAGGGTTTGCCTCCTGAAGCAGAGATTTCTGATAATTGCGATACCTCATAGTATTGCCCTGTAATGGAATCTGACATTTGATGTGGTATTTCGTTGTAATTATTTTGATCTCGTCGTGCTGTCAAAGATGTAAAGGAAGCTTTCAACAATTTTCTTCTTTGGATATAGATACTGAGAAAAAAAATATACAATGAGTGAATTGACAACACGCTGGTCACATTACTTGATATTGTCAACTTTGAAGCACTCTACAGTTAAATATTTCTCTAAATTATTTCATTGGGTTTGTTTACGTGCTAGACGGTTAAAACAATAAAATAGGCTAGGTTTCTGCAGAAAGAGGTTACGTCTTATAGAAGATGTTTGAATAAGCCAAATGAACATTAAAGGAAAAAACACTATTTTATCAGTCATCGACATAAAAGTCATGTATCGAATGATCAATTCCCACCACACCTATTTTCCTGATTTTTACCGTTTGCAATCGAGAATAATGGTGATGGTCTTCCAAGCAAATAAGGTCGTGTAAGTGAATAATTCTTCTTAAACTGGTACTAGGGGCTGTCTTGAACTTTCAGCGAGATGTGAGTGTTTATGTCGTATTGAAGGCTAGCTGTGACTTTGAGATCAAGTGCAGTAATATAAGCGCTGTTTGTGTAATTTTGGTTTTGTCAAATGTTAAAAATATTAAGATGTGATTTTATGGAGGTCATGGAACGAACTAAAAAAAACTCAAAAACTAAGAGTTGTGTCGCGTGCTGCCGAAGAGGATCATGTATCTATGATGAGTTTATTAATTATGTCGTGCTACACACACACACACACACACACACACACACACATATATATATATATAAGTACGTCTGAACCAGTGACGACTCTACAACAAATTTTATCCATCGGATCACCAGTGATGGTGATACAAGGCTGAAAACATATTATGTATATATAATTCGTCTAAATAACAGCCCAACAATGTTAGATCTGTAAATTTGCGTTAGCAAATTTTTCTGTTCTTCCCTGGCCTGGATTCGAACTCATGCTACTGAAAATGTCTAAACAAGTGACAACTCTACGATAGATCCATCCATTGGATCACCAGTGAAGGTGATACAAGGCTGAAACCACACATAACTACTTTAAAATATTAGCACAACAATGTTAAATCTTGCTAATTTCCGGAAGCAAATTTTTTTTCTTCCCTCGCCAGGATTCGAACTCATGCTATTGGGATATCGAGACAACAACGCCTGCACTGTATCCATAGCTCTAGACCACTCGGCCACCTAGACTGAACTAAATAATTCAGCTTTCGGTGGCCTAGTGTTACCTTTCCTCGTCAGTAGAATCTAGAGTTGTAACACAGTAAATGATATGCGTTTGCGGTATACCATATTTTCCGCAAGTTTATTGTTTTCTGTTTGGTATTAAATTAATAGTTAAGATCCATTTTGTTACATCTGGTAATCCGTTTATTTGGCAATCGCCAATGGCAGTCAACAGGCTTAGAGAACATCAGTTGTTCGACCTGCTAGTCAAATGCGTTTTGTTAAAATATACTTTTTCACTTTTTTTGTATTTTGGAAAATGTTGTTTGTGCTGTATTTACAGTGAAGATCACTTCTAACCTCTCATTAGAACTGTCAGAATAATCTGTCATAGAACTGTTCTAAACTGTCCTAGAACAGTTCTACCTAGAACAGTTCTACCCTAGAACTTTTCTAAGTAGAACTGTCAGAATCAGTTCTAGGTAGAACTGACCAAATCAGTTCTAGGGTAGAACTGTCTAAAACTGTTCTAGGTAGAACTGTCCAAATCAGTTCTAGTCGTAGAACTGTCAGCAGAACTGACCAAATCAGTTCTAACCGTAGAACTGTCCAAACCTGTCATGATTGTAGAACAGTTCTAAATGACGTCACCATTCAGTGTTATTATTATCGTTGATAAAGCCACACGCAAAATGAGAATTTTTTTAATATATATTATATTCTTTTGACTTATTCATATTTAAAACAAAGAGTTCTTAAAACTGTTCTATGGATAGAACTGACTAAATCAATTCTAGCCGTAGAACTAACCAAATCGGTTCTAATCGTAGAACTGTTCTAGTCGTAGAATTGACCAAAGACTTGGTCAGTTCTAGGTAGAACTGTCTAAAACTGTTCTAGGGTAGAACTGTCAGGATCAGTTCTAGGTAGAACTGTCTAAATCAGTACTAGGTAGAACTGACCAAATCAGTTCTAGGTTAGAACTGTTCTATCTAGAACTGTCTAAAAGGTGTCAGAATGACAGTTCTACATACTGTCCTAGAACAGTTCTCCTGACAGATTCTGACAGATTTGATGAGAGGTTAGAAGTGATCTCTACTGTAGACCCCTCTACCAAGGAATTTGTTTTATGGCCTTCCAAATACCGTTTCGATTCCTAACATCACTGAAGAGACATTTATTGTCGAAATCCGGATATGGTGTACAAATTTTTGCACCTCATATTTGCGGTATACCATCTTTTCCGCAAGTTTATTGTTTTCTGTTTGGTAATAATTAATGATAAGATATATTTTGTTACATCTTGTGGTCCGTTTATTTGGCAATCGCCAATGGCAGTCAGCAGGCTTTAAGAACATCAGTTGTTCGACCTGCTAGTCAAATGCGTTTTGCTGAAATATACTTTTTCACTCATTTGGTCTTTTGCAAAATGTTGTTTGTGCTGTATTTAGACCCCTCTACCAAGAAATTTGTTTTGCATGCACACGTATAAAAATGGCGGTTTTTATCCAATGCAATCATAGGTTTGAACGTTGTTTTCAATTTAGACTTGTTTATATTTTTTCGTTTGGGCTTGTATTATATTTGCCTTCGGGTTTATATGATCCGTTCATCCTATTTTGACTCTTTCAAAATTCAAGAGTCTATCCTAAATTGAGGTAAATTATATGGCCTTCCAAATACCGTTTCGATTCCTAACATCACTGAAGAGACATTAATTGTCGAAATCCGGATATGGTGTACAAATTTTTGCACCTCATGTTTGCGGTATACCATCTTTTCCGCAAGTTTATTGTTTTCTGTTTGGTAATAAAGTAATGATAAGATCTATTTTGTTACATCTTGTGGTCCGTTTATTTGGCAATCGCCAATGGCAGTCAGCAGGCTTTAAGAACATCAGTTGTTCAACCTGCTAGTCAAATGCGTTTTGTTGAAATATTCTTTTTCACTCATTTGGTCTTTTGGAAAATGTTGTTTGTGCTGTATTTAGACCCCTCTACCAAGAAATTTGTTTTGCATACACACATATAAAAATGGCGGTTTTTATCCAACGCAATCATAGGTTTGAACGTTGTTTTCAATTTAGACTTGTTTATATATATATGAACCGTTTCGATTCCTAACATCACTGAAGAGACATTAATTGTCGAAATCCGGATATGGTGTACTAATTTTTGCACCTTTTGTTTGCGGTATACCATCTTTTCCGCAAGTTTATTGTTTTCTGTTTGGTATTAAATTAATAATTTTAACAAATCCATTTCGTAACATCTTGTGATCCGTTTATTTGGCAATCGCCAATGGCAGTCAGCAGGGTTTAAGAACATCTGTTGTTCGACCTGTTAGTCAAATGCGTTTTGTTAAAATATACTTTTTCACTTTTTTGGTCTTTTGGAAAATGTTGTATATATATATATATATATATATATATATATATATAAGTGCCTATAAATAGCAGCACATGACATACAAATCTATGGGAGTGTGGATTAATCAGTACAGAGATTAATTCAATTACACAAATAAAATTATAGATTGCCTAACAATGTAATTTTAACACACTATTTAGTATGTAAATATAAGAATGTTTAAAATATTTACAAAATGATGAAAATAAACGCAATATTTCGCTAGACTAACTAGCTTTATCAAGCGTGCATCTATCCAGGTGAAATCGGATGTAGATGATAAGAAACTTTTGCAGCTCAATGTATATGTTGCACTTGAATTTAGCTGCCTTGAAAATAATACATAATTTGGATGAAGTTCAAGATTTTTACAAAATTGGTAGTTGAAGTTAGCAACGTCCATTGGCCAATATTGCAGGATAAAAAGGACGATGCTGTGTACTAAATTATTCTTTATCTTTCCTGTATCTTTTCTCATCTTTTTCGTTAAGACCATCAGGTTCTAAAGTGTGGAGTTGGTGGATCCAAAAATTTTCTCTTCTCCTTCTCGCCGTGGTGTCCCACTCGGTGTTGACTTCTATGATTTGGAAGGTAACATTATCAAAAGAATGTTTTGTTGAACGAAGATGTCTTGTGAGAGGACAGTTTTTGTTGGTTTTGTACCATGAACGATGGTTATTGAGCCGAATATTAAATTTGTCCATTGTTTCTCCCACATACTGAATGCCACATGTGTCACATGTTAATATATAAATTGAGTTCTCCGTTTTACAGTTGGAATTTGAGTAGATGGTATAATTTTGTTTAGTAACGGAGCTGATGAAAGAACTGCTTGTATTGGCAGCTTTACAACACAAGCAGTTCCTTCGACCACATTGTTTGTAGCAACCGGGAGATGGAGTAGGCTGCTTTGCTAATACAGATGTCACTAATTTGTCACGGATGTTTTTAGGTCTTCTGAAGGCCATGACTGGTGGTGAGGAAAATACTTTTTTAAGATTTGAATCATTTTCTATAATTTTCCAATGCTTCTGAACAATTTTCCAATGCTTCTCCTAAAAGTTGCCATCCTAAACACTGCTCCCGTGGCATCCCATTCAGCCAGGCATTGCGAATCAAGAGAATATGCTCTACTGAAAATACGCAAAATGCTAGACTTGGACAACTACGTAAACATCTAGTTGTTCGAGGATACAATAGCAACATCATTGATAGCGCTTTCGAAAGAGCAAACAAAACTAGTCGCCAAGAACTTCTAGAGTACAAAGATAAGAATAAAACAGCTAACAGAACACCCCTTGTACTCACTTACCATCCTGATTTTAAAAATGTGTCTTCCATTGTTCAGAAGCATTGGAAAATTATAGAAAATGATTCAAATCTTAAAAAAGTATTTTCCTCACCACCAGTCATGGCCTTCAGAAGACCTAAAAACATCCGTGACAAATTAGTGACATCTGTATTAGCAAAGCAGCCTACTCCATCTCCCGGTTGCTACAAACAATGTGGTCGAAGGAACTGCTTGTGTTGTAAAGCTGCCAATACAAGCAGTTCTTTCATCAGCTCCGTTACTAAACAAAATTATACCATCTACTCAAATTCCAACTGTAAAACGGAGAACTCAATTTATATATTAACATGTGACACATGTGGCATTCAGTATGTGGGAGAAACAATGGACAAATTTAATATTCGGCTCAATAACCATCGTTCATGGTACAAAACCAACAAAAACTGTCCTCTCACAAGACATCTTCGTTCAACAAAACATTCTTTTGATAATGTTACCTTCCAAATCATAGAAGTCAACACCGAGTGGGACACCACGGCGAGAAGGAGAAGAGAAATTTTTTGGATCCACCAACTCCACACTTTAGAACCTGATGGTCTTAACGAAAAAGATGAGAAAAGATACAGGAAAGATAAAGAATAATTTAGTACACAGCATCTTCCTTTTTATCCTGCAATATTGGCCAATGGACGTTGCTAACTTCAACTACCAATTTTGTAAAAATCTTGAACTTCATCCAAATTATGTATTATTTTCAAGGCAGCTAAATTCAAGTGCAACATATACATTGAGCTGCAAAAGTTTCTTATCATCTACATCCGATTTCACCTGGATAGATGCACGCTTGATAAAGCTAGTTAGTCTAGCGAAATATTGCGTTTATTTTCATCATTTTGTAAATATTTTAAACATTCTTATATTTACATACTAAATAGTGTGTTAAAATTACATTGTTAGGCAATCTATATATATATATATATATATATATACATGAGTTCAGTATTCAGTTTTTTGGAAAACTACAGTTCAAATGTGTTATGTCATTCAATCCATTCACTGGTGTAGTTGACAACATATTCACATGAAGATGCTCCCTTTTGCTCATTCAATGAAGTTAAAATGTTTATTATTAGAATTTGACATAAACCATCTTGCAAAGGTGAGCCAAGCTTTCGTATCCAATAAGTTTACAAAATCTGTGGATTAATTTCGGTAAGGAGTGGGCCGCCAGGAGTTATGAACTTAAACTGAGCTGTTGTACAGTATCAATAAAAAGTATGAAACTTGAACAAATAATGTATGCAATATCGAAAGCAACATGTACATGCATGTTAAATGATTAAAAAAATAATTTAATTTATCCAAAAAAAACTTAACGGTTATGCTAGAGGCAAACTTCTGTACGCTTGGAACAATGTGTATTCAACGGACACTTCTATGATTTATTTTGTTTATAGAAACTTTGTTTGTTCTAAACAAGTACACAGGTGCCTTTATAGCTACTGTAGAATTGCTGACCTGTTCGGAAATCTTTTAATTTTGTAATCATTATAATGTTGTAGGGTAAAATCACAAATTGTTGATGTTTCGTGCCACTTTAAGCAATCTCAGCTTGCATTGGTGGAGGGTCCGGAGAAACCCATTGACATTCGCAAAGAAAACCAATGAAGACCATGCTATGAGCTGGGTATGAACTCACAAACTTAGTGGTAGTATGCTTATGTACAACTTTATTTGACATCCATTTGTATTCTTTCCTATTTTTTTTATTTTGTTTACAAAATCTAGCAGAAAAAATGATTCCCCTATTGAATTTTGTAAAAAAAAAAACAAAAAAAAAAACACTTTCTGTATCATGCACATAAAGGTAAAATTGACCCCTTTACATTTTGACCAGGCCACCTATTATGTATAAAATGTATAATCTTTTGATGTAGTTCTAATGGGAATTACTTTTAAACTCACATGGCCAAGAGAAAAATAATGATAGTTGCAAAGGTTACAGCGCCTCCTGTAGTAATTTTGATACACAAACCATCTGCAATGATATAAAAACAAATCTTAAATGATAAATACATCTATATTTATTAAACAACAAATACTTTATACAGGACGAATGAAACGATATGTGCGTGTTGACGAACTCGTTACTGAGGGGCTTGTAGGTTGTCTTATGAAGAGCAAAATTTCCGGTCCCTTTATAAAAACAATCTTTCCAGTGGTGGCCAAATATTTCAGAACCTTTAGCTGGCTATTTAGCCTATTGTTAATTTGTTCTAGTCCTGAATAATGATGAACTTTTAATAGCTGGGCGTTAAGTTAATAATATTTATTCAAATTAATCAATCTGCAATATATATTGAATAGAGATGTGGCAAAGGGACAACAGCCCAACCAAAGAGCAGAAAACATCACAAGGCACCAGTTGGTATTCAACGCAGAGAGTAACTCCCACACACGGAGGCGGGCTGCAGGTAGCCCCTAAACAATAATGTATATTAATTGCATTGTTTTAATATATAAATATACAGGTATTAATATTTTTCATATTTTTCTATTTTTTTTCTTCTTGTATATATATATCTATAGCTAAATAGGCGACTAAGGGTGTAGTGTAGGTCGGGGTGATTTTTCATTGAATGACAGCAGATTTTTTCTTCTCATCATGGACGGAGGAATCACTAAATACCAGTATGTCTTTGGAATGATATTCGGAATAATATACGCGACCGATATGGAAAAGGAAATGCTTCAAAATCTCAAGGATTCTGTATCTGCTACATCAATCGTGGGAGATGTCCTCGCATTGGAAGCATTTAACTAGCCTATGCCTTATTCTGATTCTCGCTAGAATAACCTACCTGGAGGATAATTTAGGGACCATATTTTATTCTTATTACCCAATAATCTCAAATACTATATCCTTACGCCCGGGCCCTATAATTTTTAAAGTCGGAGAGTGCAGTCGGGAAAAACAATGGAAATTGTTATTGTTCCTTCCGGTTGCACTACTTGGAAACTACTATAAAAAATTAACCAGGATATAGTATAGACATTCAAAATTTAAGAAGAATTTTAGCGAGAAATCATTTAAAAAGGGAACCTGTATTCCTATTTTTTATCAAGATATACTTTATTTTTTATAAGTATATCACAGACGACACAAAGGGGCATTAGCTGTCAAGTTCATGTTCACCGATTTGACTCAAATTCTCATATTTGATTTATAACATACTAAAACGTATATCCAAATTATAAAAAGTCTAAAATAAACAATTTACAACGCATGGGCTCGATAATATGTGCATTTCTTGTGTATTTTAGTCTAGATGACATCTAATTAACTTTCGAGGTGACCTTCCAAGACTGTCGACGGTTATATAACCCGATATAAACATAAATATAGATACAAATAGATCACGAACTCGTGCAATTGGATTTTTCTAGATCTGTTTGATTTTATAATATAGGTGAAAAATATACGTTAATCATCGTTTTTACCTGTCTAAGAATGAGTTTTTGTGGATTGAGCCAGTCAATCATATGGTTTACCATTGTTTCACTTTCAATGTTGAAATTGTTTTTCCTTTTAATAACTAAACACGCCTAATTCATGCGTAATCCATCTCTAGCTAAGGGGTTAAATTGAAGGTCACATCAATATGGATTCAATGAGGTCGAATTATTTACTTGCAAGTGAATAATTCATCAGTAATGTTTCTGAGCTTATTTTGACAAAATTGAACCAAACTGGCTGCTCAAAGCGAATTATGATTTCACTTTCATTAATGAAGGATCCAAAAAAACATATTTTAATTTTTTGTCATATCTCGTAGCTAATGCTTCTTTCAGAGCTATCATTTTTTTTGGTTTTTTTTTTGTTGGTATGTTTCATTTTTCCTTTCAATTTTTTTTTTATTTGTATAATTTATTGTAACACAGTCAATTAACCCTGTTCGTTACAGTTTCATATAATTACATAATATCTATGTAATATGAATTTAAGGCGAAATTACTATATAAGTAAGCCCCCTACCAAACCCAATAACAACAACAACAATATTAGTTCGGCAAAATTGACACCATACCAGTCGAAAAGCATGCCCTTAAAAACGACAATTGTTTCTACTTTCTAAATTCGTCAATGGGAATGATATTAATGTCCGCCATTTTAAAGTTACGTTTTTACGCGGAAAAGTGAAATTGGCGGCAATTTGGAATCTTTTGTGTTTTCTGTCTCTTGCTTGTCGTTGGAGTCAAAAATTGATGTCTTTGTATCTCTTAAGCATGTGTCTTATTATAAAAGAAAATATAACTGGAATCGGCGGTCCAAAAACAAATTTATACATTAAAAATTATGCCAAACTGTCCGGTACTTTATCTGTGAAAACATAGGAAAAAACTAAGCTTATATGTAATCTACAGTAACAAAAAAAATAATTATACGTCTCTCAAAGCTAAAAAAAATATTAAGTCTAACGTTCTTTCACCCCTTATGAAACCCCATTTGAAATTAATTCCGAAATGAAGACATATTTTGACATTGTAGTTTTTTGTTTGTCTTGCACATCGATGTCAACATGCATCCATACAAAAACATACAAATAAACCAAAATTAATTATTCTCTTTTGGTTTGATGTTTGACGTTAACTGATACAAAAAGGTAAGGTAAATGTATACTGTCTGCGCATAGCCTCAAATCACGCTGACTGGGAAAAAACCGCTCATTGTTACTATTTCATATTTTTTTTATCCCACTCAGTATTCTTTTCTACGATTTGAAAAGTAACTTTATCAAAAGGATGTTTCTTTCAGCAAAGATATCAAATTGAGGTGACAGTTTTTGTTCGTTTTGTACCATGGTCGATGGTTATTAAGTCGAATGTTAAATTTGTCCATTATTTCAACCACGTACTGAATGCCATAGGTATTACACGTTAATGTATAAATTGAGTCCCCGTTTGACAGTTGGAATTTTCGAAGAGGGTATAACTTTGTTTTGAAAAGGAGCTGACGAAAGAGCTGCAATTGACAGCTTTACAATATAAACAAGTCCTTCTCCGGCATTGTTTGTATTAACCACGAGAAAGAGTAGGTGGCTTCATCGATGATGGTACAAAACTAACAAAAACTCTCCCCTCACAAGATATCTTATCTTTCATCCATTTTTAGAAACAAAGTTGCTTTGCACTCACATGCGTTAACCTGAATCAGTGAATATGATAAAATAAGTCGTGGTTGACGAGTTTTTGTAGTAGACTTGTCCTACTACCTGTGATAAGTGATCAACTATCATAATGATTCCTCTGTGAATTACAAAACTCTTCCTTTTTGTGATTATTCTACTATAATAATTGTTTGAACTTTCATAACTAGATAGCAAGATAGTAAATGTTGTAACGTAGAAGTATATGTTGGGTTAACAAAAAGACGACGTGTGGATATAATAAATGAAACATATTAAAGTTGAACCATCTCGGGCACTTTTTAATACTTCATCAAAAACTGATCTAGTCCCGAACATGCATAAAATACAAATACAATGCAGACAGACATTACGATGTTTTATCGGTAATAATTTTACTGAACACAATCACTTCTCCTTTAGGTTTCATTGGCACTGGTTATCATTGCGTAAACAAAAAATGCTTCAGTAACTCCGAGTACTCTCCGATTTGTACTTAGTGTCTTTTTATTGTGGGGATGTATAAGCACCCTGCCACATCCACTCTGTGTTTTGTTGTATTTCTATTTATATCCATCTGATGAGTTAAGCCTTTTTCAACTGATTTTTATAGTTTGTTCTTATGTTACATGTATACTGTCACACCACTGTCCCAGGATAGGGGAGGGTTTGCGCCTTCAAACTACTTTAAACCCTCCACATTCTGTATGTGCTTGACCCAAGTCAGGAGCCTGTTATGCAGTAGTTGTCGTTTTTTGCTGTGTAACATTTTTTTTTTTTTCATTAATTATTTTGTACACAAATTAGACCGTTAGTTTTATCATTTGAATTGTTTTACATTCGTCATTTCGGGGGCTTTTATATAATAGCTGACTATGCGGTATGGCCTTTGCTCATTGTTGAAGGCCGTACGGTGACCTAGCTGTTAATTTGTGTCATTTGGGCTCTTGTGGTCTCTCAAGATTTAAAAATGATAACATGATAATTTTAACCCTTTGAGCGCCGAGACGTTGTTTTTTCACATTGTTACGTTGCCATACATATTTGAATGACGTTACTAAAAACGATACGTAACGTAACGTCAACACATTTACCTAGACAAGCACATGCACGTTATCCTCGTTAATTGATTAATTTGACATATCATACATTCGGGTAAATTTCCATCATCCTCGGGATTAATCTTTAAACTTTAGTACACGTAGCGGACCTTGCGTATATTCTGTGATTATTTATAAATTTTTGGGTTGGAAATCGAAATTAATTTATTACATATCTATTTTTTTTCTAGAATACTATAAAAAAAAAAACACGACAATATGGAAATAAATGAAGGTTTTTATAATATGATAAATATTACAAACAATAAAGATGTTGAAGAAAATATAGTTCAATCACTGTATTTTTATATAAAGAAGCATGCAAGATTTTATATTAATACGAGGGATTCAAAAGACGAGCAGTGTTCTCAGCTTCTTCATAGTTGACACGGTCTGTTTTTTTTCTAAAGCACCGTCGATGAAGAGTCCGACTTAACACTTAGTACTATACATCAGCACAAAAATCGGGATACTAGTATATAGCATTGTAATGACTTATGATTTAACCATAAAGTCTTAACTGATTGATCAATAAATCGAATGACAACTGCGTTCAGCGGCAAATATTTCATGATATTTCACAACTCTTATCTTTTTTCTGATAATGTATAATCTGAAATAAGTTTACTTTTGCCGATTTGGTTTTGAGAAATGTCACTTGTCTGATTAAACTAGTCAGTCAGGGGTACTACTTGTACAAGTAATCTTTATTTACTTGAAGAAGTAAATAAAATATACTTATATAAGTTAAT